TCAAGACTTTGACTTTAATTCAAAATGCAAGGAGTCTTTCGATTCATTAAAGTAAAAGCTTATTTTAACTTCAATTGTTCAGCTGCCAGGTTGAAATAATCCCTTTGAACTTATGTGTGACACATCGAATACTAGCGTTGGAGCCGTTCTTGTCCAAAAAATAGGGAAAGAGCCACATGTCATAGCCTATGCATCCCAAACGTTGGACTCGACTCAGAAAAATTATTCGACTACAGAAAGAGAACTTTTTGCTATAATTTTTGCTTTAGAAAAATTTAGATCTTATTTGTTTGGCACTAAAATTACTGCTTTTCTGATCATGCAGCTATAAGATATTTGATGAGCAAAAAGGAGGTAAAACCGAGGCTTATCCGATAGATCCTGGTTTTACAAGAGTTTAACTTGGAAATTAAAGACAAAAAGGGATGTGAAAATCTGGTAGCATATCACTTGAGTTGAATTCCCCTTTCTACATTCGAACCACCACTTAGAGAATAATTTCCTGAAGAAAAACTGATGGTGGCACAAAGCATAACCCCATGGTTTGCGGACATGGTTAATTATTTAGCAACATGTAAGTTACCATTAGATTTGTCGAGAGTTGAAATCAATCGAATTAAGTGGGAATTCCGATACTATATTTGGGACGATCCTTATTTATGGAAACACTGCTCGGATCAGGTAATTCGATGATGTATTACCAAAAGCGAGGTAAAATCAATTTTACAATTTTGTCATTCTTACTCTTGCGATGGTCATTTTGGGCCAAAACGTACAACCCATAAAACTATTTAATGATGTTTTTATTGGCCAAACATCTTTCGGGACTCTTACATGTTTTGTAAAACTTGTGAAAGATGTCAACATACAGATAATTTGAGCCGTAGGAATGAAATGGTGCTTAATTCTATACAAGTTTATGAAATTTTTTATGTTTGGGGAATCAATTATATGGGCCCTTTTACTTCGTCATTTGGAAATACTTATATTATTTTAGCTGTAGATTATGTTTCTAAATGGGTGGAAGCTAAGGCCACTCGAAATAATGATGCTAAAACTACGGTTAATTTTTTGAAAAATATTTTTTCTAGGTTTGACATGCCACGAGCTATAATAAGCGACAGAGGAACACATTTCATAAACCAAGTCATCGAGTCACTATTGAAGAAATTTGGAGTAACTCAATGAATTGCTACCACTTACCATCCACAAAAAAATGGACAGGCAGAAGTATCAAATCGGGAAATTAAAACAATTCTTGAGAAAATTGTTAAACCGAACAGAAAGGATTGGAGTTTAAAATTAACCGATGCACTTTAGGCATATCAAACTACTTATAAAGGTCCCATTGGGATGTCACCATACCTGCTTATTTTCGGTAAACCATGTCATTTACCAGTTGAGTTAGAACATCGTGCTTATTGGGCCATTAAACAATGTAACATATACATGGATGCAATTGGTGAAGCTCGAAAATTACACATTCAAGAACTTGAAGAAATCCGAAGAAATTCCTATGATAATGCTCGGATATTTAAAGAAAAAATAAAAGAATTTCACGATAGTAAAATTTCTTTTAAAACTTTTTCTGTCAGTCAAAAGGTTTTATTATTTAACTCCAAATTTAAACTTTTTACAGGAAAGCTCAAATCAAAATGGCTCGTACCGTTTACAGTAACTCAAGTATTTCCTCACGGTGCTGTTGAAGTTGAAGATAATTCAGGAGTTCGATTTAAAGTTAATGGTTAAAGACTAAAGTCGTATTATGAAAATGCTCTGGGTGGTCTAATCGAAGAAATCAATTTAGAGGAACCTACACTTTGAAAAATCAGGTCGTCGAGCTAACGACGTTAAACAAAAGCGCTTGATGGGAGGCAACCCATTTCGTTCAATTTTTTATTTTATTTTATTTTATTTTCATTTTATTTCATTTTATTTTTATTATATTTTTTAGTAAACTTTATTTTCATTATATTTATTTTATTTTAATTAATTTTATTTTATTTTTCTCTGAAAATATTCGAATTCCGATCGAATATTTCTTACCTTCACCTGGGCTCGTCTCAACATGACTGTGGTTGCGATTGCCACTAGATTGAGGAGTATTCCTTTTCCCTCTCTTTGTTTTTAAATTCGACATACGTTTTGGGACAAAACGGATTAAGTGAGGGGGAAAGATAAGCATGTATCAAATTTTTCCTTGACTTGTTTAATTATTTGAAATTGAGTTATTCTAATGTTGATATCTTGGGATCGTTTGTTGCTAGTCTTGAATTTCGCTTTATACTCTTGCTTCCTTTTGGATTATGACCATGTTTTTTATCGAATTTAATTTGTATGATTGGTGATTGATATAGCTGGTGAATGTTTTGTTGAATATTGATATTTCATACTTTTGTCGATAGAGATGAACTTGACTCAATGCATATAAACTTTTCTTGTGAGATTTGAGCCTAACGAGCATACATTTTCTTTCTTGCTCATTGTTTGACTTGTGTGTGCCGAACTAATTAGGATATTCTAGAACTTGTAATCACAATGGATATCGAGATTACATGTTGAACGTAATGTTTTAATCTGATAGGGGCACCTAGGATAAACCCACTCTTCCTAGAAAGTCTACCTATTTATATATCCAATAGTGAACAACATTTGAGCCTATTTTCCTTTCTTTGTTTTATACCTCATAATTAAACCCGAAGCCTTTCTTTTTATTTTTCCTCACTTTTCACACCTTTCCGAGGCTTGAGATCTTGTATCATTGTTGTTCCACGAAAAAATTCAATGTTTCAAAAAACCCAAAAAAAGTTGTTCATTGTTTCGAACAACAACAAAAAAGAAGAAAAAAAGACCCTTTGTTCGAAAGAAAAACAAAAAAATGGGAAGGAAAAATCGATCGCTTCAATTCTCTTTCATATTTACTTTTTCCTTGTTTTGTTCTTCATTGTGCTTCATGTTAATTCATGGATTGTTCTTAATTATTTTGATCTCTTGTTTCGATATTTTAAACCTTTCTTTTCGGTTTTTCCCTACCCTAACCTAAGCCCCGTTTCACCTTGTTTAAAGACCCCTTGATTATTGCATTATGTTCATTTTTCATAGTGGAGACTTGATTGGATTCCAAGCCTATGATAATATTTTGGTTAGTTTCAGTTTGAGCGATTTCATTTACCCCAAACACTTTGAGCGGATATGTGTGAATCTTTGTGAGGTATTGAGTCATGTTTCATTGAAGTTGGCAATTAATTGAGATATCTTACTTTAAATTTTCTTGGTTGTACCGTTGCTTGATTGTTACTTGAATTTGACAAATATCATGGACTTAGTTCGATTGGAAGTTTGAGGAATAAATTGAAATTGAAGATGGCAACTTGTGATTTGGATGTATTAATTGATGAATGCTTGAGGACAAGCATTGAATAAGTGAGGGGGAATTTGATAAGTGCTTAATTTAGTTAATATTTTTCTTTTAAATTACTCCTTAATCATTGTTTTTTGTGGCTTAATTGTTCGTTTTGATTCATTTTATGTGCAAGACGTCAGATTTTGGAAATTGCACAAAAAGGATAGAATTCTGCAGTTTTTTTATTTTCAGAATCAAAGCTGGCTTGAATTTGGATTTGAATTAAACTCAAGTTTAGGATAATATTTTAAACATTATATTTTATCTCTGTATTTTAGTTTAAATATGTTTTAGTATTTTAATTAAGTTCTAGGGTATAATTTTTATATTTTATATTTGTTTTAGGTATTTTAGTTTAAATAGGTTTTAGTATTTTAATTTGGATTTAGAATATTATTTTAAATATTATTTTTTAAGTATTTTAGTTTAAATAGTTTTAAGTGTTTTAATTAGGATTTAAGATGTTTTAGCTTGTTTTTAGGATTTTGAAGGCTATAAATACCCTCTCAAGGTAAGCCTAGAAACATATATCTCTCATGTGAGAATAAAATCTTCTTTTTTTCTCTCTAGCTTTCTCTCTATTTTTTGCATACTTTTCAATTATGCTAAGTATAACTTTGGTTATGCCTAGCTAATTTTCTTTCAAGCCGAAGGCTAAAGCGAAGGCTTAATTCTAAACGTGAGAATTGTAAGGTACTTAAATCGCTTCGGATTTTCTCTCTATTTTATGAGCTTACTTTTCAAATCAAAACGATTTTCGACATTGGTCCGGATATTGTTATGGTTAACGTTTGAAGAAGGATTTGCTTATTGAAGCATAATCAACTTCCCGAGAACACACTTAGCAAAATTGTTTGCTAAGAGGAAACTGAGATCGGAATCAGTTATTGTTGAAACGACACAATCTGAGTTGGCAACGAAGAATTGTCCTTGTAAGCCGAAGTGAATATTGAAGTAAAAATATGTTTCGATGATCCGAGGAATTTGAGGCAAAGCTGAAGTCTGAGGCTACTTTCATTATAAGTTTTCTTTATCCATATCTCTTTAGATTATTTATTTAATTATTTCTTTTATTTAATACTTATTTTTTATTTTAAAAACAACTTTTAAAATCCCCTTTTATTTTACAACTATTATTTATTATTTTACATTATATTTATTATTATTTATTTTATTTTATTAAATCTTTTCAACTTTACTTGGAATTATATCTCCTCCTAAAATCAAGAAACAATTTTACTAAATCAGAAACACCACAGTCCCTGTGGATCGACTCTGCTTCTCTATACTACCTTTTCCTTTATATTTAAGAAGCTGGAATTATTTTGATACCAAAACGACAGTTATCAGTACACATGCCCAGTTTTCACTTGAGCTAACCATATAATGAAATCTCACATTTGGAATGGGCAGCTAAGGAGGCTAGCGTGAAGCAAATCGTGTTGGTTGGGTCAATGAGTGGAACAAACCCTAATCATCCCTATTACAGATTGGGCAATGGGAACATTTTGGTTAGCCTCACCCTCTTCTGACAGGGGCCTTTGTTCCCGAGTTCGATGGAATAATCAATACTATTGAATTATTTGGTTTCAACTTCTCTGTTTCACAGGTCTGGAAAAGAGAGGCCGAGCAGTATTTGGCCTTCCGTTGTTCCATACACAATTATGAGGTAGATGGAAGTAGGCCGTTTTATAGCCATCGACATTCCTTGTTTTCCCATCTCTGTTCTACTAGAGGAAATATCTCTGAACTTGAAACTATTATTTGTTATATTCGTATAACTTTACAACCGATACCTTTTTTGCCAAGTTAGGGTTGGAGGGCTACAAGAAAGAGATGGCGGTATCAGAGAACTACTAGTCGGGAAGGATGATGAGCTTCTTCAGACTGAAACGAAAACAATTGCCAGGCCTGATATTGCTGAAGTTTGCATTCAGGTATCGCCTTTGTCATATTCGCATTCCGAATTGAAAAAAATTTCACCATCACCGTTGGCATTGGATTGTTGTTCTCATGCATCTTATGCATTTTCTTTTCAAACAGGCACTGAAATTCGAGAGGCAAAGTTTAAGGCGTTTGATTTAGCCTCAAAACCTGAGGGAGTCGGCACCCCAAACAAGGACTTCAAGGCTCTTTTTTCCCAGATCACGACTCGTTTCTAATTCTCGAGGGCCACGAGGTTTTTTCTACAAGATATGTTATGCTTCTTAAGAACATTTTTAATTTGAATAATCGTCAGTATCTGGAACTTTTAAAACCATGCCTTGATCAACAGAAACGACTACAAACAACACTCAACTGTCTACTAAGGTACCCCTTGCAAAACTTAGTTAAGATTTAAGATAGCAGTGCAATGAAATTCTTTTTGTAAGACGTTGCTATGGAACTTAGTATTTCAACAATATTTGAACTCAGTAATGTATCCTCCTTTCATACATGGAACTCTATAGCTTATTGCCTCTTCTTTTCTTCTCATCTATTTTTCCATCCTAGTCCGGCCAACCAACTAGGCTCTCGTTTCTTACTTTGATTTGGTGTGTACCATAGGATGAAACAATGTTGGAGAATAACTTGCAACTATTACTTACATAAAGCATCTAAGCATGCACTGTTTTATTCAACAAATCATGTAAATGGAATTGAACTCTGTCCGACAAGGCCGGACATTTCGGTTTCAGATCAACTTTGAATGTGAGCATATACTACATGGCTAGCATTTACAGAATTCACTATATCACATATTTACAAGACTGACCAGAGATCAAGTCAAACTAATTCAAATTGCTACTTAGCTAGCATGCTGTTTGGCCCAATACGCATGGACAGAGTATTCTGTCCAAAAGCTCTTGTGCTAAAGGTTCTCCTCTCTTTTGCTAAGGGGAAATTCTTGTTGTATGGATCAATGTCTTCTCCGTATACATTTTCGTACACAAGTTACAGTTTTCACATGACTTTTAAAACATTTTCGATTTTGAAAAAAAACAAGTAAAATTTTGTTTCTATACATAAAACATTTTAATGTAATAATAATAAAACGTTCGTTAACTTTTAGTATGTAAAATAGTCTTAAAGTTATAACATATTAAATATTACAATCATCATAAGTCTCATACATTCCATAACATCATCATATATCTATTACACGCCATCTAATAATATCGAAAGTAGACATTTTTCATACACTTACAGATGAGTCAACCTTTGATTTATGATATCAGCTGCACTCCCTACTCCACTCGTATGCTATTACCTACGCGTGAAACCAATATACGAAAAGTATTAACTTAGTGAGGTATAATAATACAAATGAGGTGTAATCAAAACATAAGTATATCATAAAATATCAAAATACGAATTAAATCGTATAAATCATAATAATACATAAAATTAGCATGATAAACCAAGTTTCTTTCACATAACCTGCAAAATAATATTTAGTATGCCCAGAATACCTATCAATCAGTATTTTTTCTAAATTATTCTTTTATTTGCCCAACGTATGTTGAATCAGAATGCAAGGTACATGAGTTGCACCTAAGTGTCGAAATGATAATTCACAAACTCATTATGAAATTCATGGATGCACACATAGTGTCGAAATGGAAATTCACAAACTCATTGTGAATACCATGGATGCACACATAGTGTCGAAAGTACACATAATACTGATACGAAAATGCAACATATGCATTAAACAAAATCAATCGATAATTATCATACACAAAGTATGTCGAAATGCACCTATGACTCTCAATGGACATAAAGTAGGCCTTTAAATCAAATTCGCAGATTAAACATTTATTCTGAAACATCGATAGCTATTAAAACAATATAGAAGTTCATCCATCTATTTTAGAGCAGTTCATACTCTAAAATTATTCGTAAAATCATTTACATAAACTTTATGAAAATATTTCAAAATACTGTAAAACATACTTTTATCAAAACATTCGAGGTTGATTCATCGTAATTCATCCGCATCTCATATAAGTACATAATAATGCACTCACCTGTATACATCCATAATCACACATACAATACAAATGTTAGTATACTTCTAACATTTATACAAAATAATAATACTCAAAAGTACTATTATTTTCGAAATCTATTAAAATTCATCCTAACATAAAATTTCAGACTGAACAGTATCGGTACCCCTCTTACAGTATCAATACTTCTCTTTTATAGTATCGATACCCACTTCAGTATTGATACTATTTATACATTTTTGAATTCATTTTTCAATTACAATATCGATACCTTCCTCTTGGTATCGATGCCTCCACATCAGTATCAATACTGCTTTCATCAGTTTCGATATTGTTCATCGTGTACATCCTCTTTCCTATAATTTAACCATATAGTATCGGTAATGTTCTTCCAGTACTGATACCCTTACCTAGATTTTACTTATTTCACTTTGATTTTTACCCAAAATTCGCCTAAATCTCTTACTCGTATCTCTAACCATACCATCAAACTCATTATCACTTATCCTTACTAACTTACATCCATAAATCTCCTTATAAGATCCAAACTCTAAAAAAAACACTTAAAACTAAAAATCACACCAAATTTTCAGCCATGTTTTCAATCACTTCTAAGGCTCCAAATCTCTTTTTTACTTCTTTGACAAGTCAAATATGCTGTTAAAATCCCATTACTTACCAAATTTCATCAAATCACTTAAAAACTCATTTTATTAAATCACAAATAAATCACTAATCTCTTATTTTTAATCATCCTTGAACTTTCCTTAAGCCTCTATGTCACTTAAGGCTTCAAAACCAACCCAAAATAGAAAGGAAAAACTAACTTGAAGAAATCTTGCCTTTGCTATAGAGGTACGGGGACGAGAAGAATAATAAAAGTAGAGAACAAAGTTTGTAGCTTTTTCCTTTTTCCTTTTTCCCTTTTTTAACCCTTAATAAATATCCCTAAAAGAATGTATTATATTCATTTCATTCTAAAAGACCATAATGCCCTTCCATGAATCCATTCTTAATAATAAGTCTTAAACACAATTTCCTAAATCAATCCTTGTACTTTTCAATTTTTTTCAAATTACCCACCAAATTTTAAATCCTTTCACTATAGTTACTGACCCGATGTTTGGGGTATTGCAATTCTCCCCTAAGAAAAATTCATCCTCGAATTTTAAGACGTACTTGATACAAAGAGGTGTGGATATTGCTTCCTCATGTCCTCATCTCTTTCCTAAGTAGCTTCTTCGACTTTATGATTTTGCCAAAGCATTTTAACTAGAGGAATCTTCTTATTATGTAATTCTTTGTTTTCTCGAGCCAAGATTCATACTAGTTATTCTTCGTAAGTTAGATCTGGTCAGGTCTCTATTTCCTTTGGTGTGATAATATGCGATGGATTTGATCAGTACTTCCTGAACATTGACACATGAAAAATATTATGGATCCTGTACATATCGGGAGGCAAAGCTAACTGATAAGCTACTGGTCTGACCCTTTTTAAAATCTCATAAGGTCCAATAAATCTCGGACTCAACTTTGCCTTGAGCCCAAACCGTAATACTTTCTTCCAAGGTGATACTTTCAGAAATACCTTATCTCCCACTTTATATTCAATCTCTTTTCTCTTTAGATAAACATAAGACTTTTGTCGATCGGAATCTCTCTTAAGATTATCTTGGATAACTTTTACTCTATTTTCCATTTCTTTAATTAAATCATGGCCAACTAGATCTTGATATTTTAGCTCAAACTAATTTAATGATGTTCGATGTTTCCTCCCATACAAGGATTCATACGGAGTCATCTTAATACTCGATTGATAAATGTTATTAAGCAAATTCCAATAAAGGCAAATATCTTTCCAGTGATCCTTTGAATTCAATCACACATGCTCTTAGCATATCCTCCAATACCTGAATAGTTCACTCTGACTGACCAACTGTTTGCGGATTAAAAGCGTGCTAAAATTCAATCGAGTACCCAATGCCTCATGCAAAGAATTCCATAATCTTGAAGTAAACCTTAGGTCTTAGAGGATACTATCGATACATGTACTCCATGCAGTCGAACAATCTCTTTTATATACAACTCTGCATATTTATGCATCTAGTAATCTATCTGAACTGGAATAAAGTGAGCTGTCTTGGTCAATCTGTCCACAATTACCCATATTGAATCCTTTTTACTGGTGTCAAAGGTAGCCCTGAAACAAAATCCATTGTAACTCGTTCCTACTTCCACTCAGGAATGGATATCAATTGTAGCAATTCGGAAGACACTTGATTTTTAGCTTTCACTTGCTGACATGTCAGGCATTTTGCAACAAAATCTTATATAACTCTTTTCATGCCAGACCACCAATAACGACTCTTTATATCTTGATACATATTTTTCCCTACTGGATGCATATTCAAAAGACTATAATGTGCCTTGGATAGAATATTTTTCTTCAGTTCTTCATTATCTGGAATGCAAAGTCTTCCACGATAATATAAACATCCATCGATACTGATTTCGAAGTCATTAGTTTCACCTTTATTTACTTGTGCAATTATTGCCAAACACTTTTCATATTTTCCTTGCAGCTCTTTTATCCGATCCAACAGCATCGACTTTAACTTAAGCTCAACAATCAAGGCGCCATCTTCCTTTAATGATATACATGCATCCAAAGCTCATAAAGCTGCAAAATTCTTTAGGCTAAGTGCATTAGCTACCACATTAGCCTTCCTTGAATGATAATCGATGATCACATCATAATCTTTGAAAATCTCGATCCATCTTCTCTGCCTCAAGTTCAATTGTTTTTGAGTCAACAAGTACTTTAGACTTTTGTGATCTATATAAATATGGCACCATTCACCGTACAGATAATGACACCAAATCTTCAAAGCAAACACAACCACTACCAATTCTAAGTCATGTGTTACAATCCTCTTTCATTTCAAAATTTTCTTGGAATTTCTCCGACCAAACAAAAGGCACATCTTTCCGTAATAATTTAGTTAATAGTGAAGTTAACATCGAAAAGTTCTTCAAGAACCTTCGATAATAACCAGTAAGCCCCAAGAAACTACAAACTTCATAAATATTCTTTAGGGGTTTCCAGTCCACTATAGCTTGAATCTTTTTAGGATATACTCTTATACCTTCTGTGGATAATAAATGGCCAAGGAAAGCAACCTCTACTAACCATAATTCAAATTTGGATAGTTTGGCATACAACTTCTTCTCTTGAAGAGTCTGAAAAAATACGAAGATGAGGATCATG